CAACAAGTCCCCGATGGGCAACGAAATCCGGTGATTCAGGGCTCGGACGATGTCCAGGATATCGATATCCCCAGTGACGAAGGTAGGACCGCCCGACTCCTTCTGTCTCGAGGACGGTCTCCATTCCCCTACTTCTCTCTGCTCATCCGTGGGCCGGATGGTTCCGATCATTCCCAACCCCGGATAACCCAAGGCGACGTATTGATTAAGCGGGATAAGTTTAACCGCTTCCTCGGAAGGGGCTACAATGCTTCCACCATTTTCTATCTTTTCAAGCATCGTACCTACCCTTCCTGGGCCGTTGGCCACAGGCGCGGCAGGCACTGGGGCAATCCGATTCAAGCTTGCGCAAGTCGGTGTGGGCAGTCCCGGGCTATGTGGCCCCATTGGTGACACGTGTAACAAACGTTCAGGTTCGCCACCGCTCTGCCCATGGGTTGAGGGGCGGCGATTTCTGGTGGCACCGGTGCGGCCCTGACAACAATGGGTCGCATTGATCTCATTAACAATTCCATCTTGGCGTTGTACTCGCGCTGCTCCTTTTTACTCCCATGTATCAGGCCAACTAAGGTTCTTGTTAACTCCAATATCGCATTTGATTCATTTATCCTGGTTGGGCTTTCGGAAGGGGGAGGAGGGACGAGAGTAGCCATAACAGGGATAGGCATTCCTGTGATCGTACTTGGAGTTGACCTTTTAGGTACAATTTGCTCCAGATAGGTAACAGGCCCAGATACGAATCCCATATTCTCGAATTTGTTCTGAAGTGCGGCTAGCTCAACCTTCGCTTTGGCTAGTTCGGATAAGTCCCCCTCTCCTTCTAGGAAACTAGTGGCGAACTTCCGTTCCATCTCCTCTGCGGCTGCCATGATTTGTTGCAGTGTATGGTTAATCGGGGAGAACTGCTTTCACAGCTTTGCCCTTATAGTCCTACTGCGAAGTCCGTCACTTAATAGATCCCTCCCCACTTGCTTTCCTCGCCAAGTCTTGACGAACATCCTATAGAATCGGTTAAGATATTCAGTAACGGATTCGAGTGGTTTCTGGACTCGGTCCTTGATCATGAAGAGAGTATGTTCCGGATGTATATAATCAAAACGGTTTAGAAAATCCTGCTAGAAAGTCGGGAGGTCTACCCAAACGTAAGTGCTGAACCAGTGGTGCGCATCCCCTCCTAATCTAGCGGGAATGTTAATCCGAGCCTCGTCATTGTCGTACTGTTGCGCGCGGAGTGTGGCCAGCCATGCCCCCGCAAGATGATGCGCGGGATCGAAAAGGTAGAGGTCGGGCGGGGCCACAGGCATCCGAGCTCATGGAGCCGGTGCCTGATCGGCCTGATTCGGGTTTTGTTGATTGACATTCATATTGATTGCCTGTCGGGCGACCGATTTACTCCTAGTTACTATAGGATCGCGTCTCGACGCGTTCTATGGTCTGGGTTGTCCCCTGTTCGCCAGGTCGTTCTATGCTAGCTACCTTCTTGTCAGTCATATGAGCTGGCCACGTGTCGGCTCCGACACCAACCTCGCGCCCAGAGCGACTTCCTGATCGAAGTGGGATGGGGCCCCGAAAGTGCGAAAGAGGGGCGTGCCAAGGATTTTAGGAAATTGTAGTCGAGTCCCAGGTTGGAACTGGGATCTCCTTATGGCCAGTTCAAGGGTAATTGAGCAAGATGGTAATCCCAAGTTGCGTTGGTAGCTGGAGCTTCGGGACACAAGGCTACCGTTGGTGTGAGCATCGGTGTCGTGGTCGGTCTCGGATCTGATGGACCTTCGAGACGCTATGAGTGTCGCGCTGACTGGTTAGCCATTGGCGTCGCTTGTAGGAGACTTCGGAATCTGACGAGGCTGGTCTCAATTGGAGACTGTGCGATCGCTGGTCCGCCTCAGTTGGGGACTGGCGGACGAATCCCGCCTCCCGGTAAATACGGTCTTGCTGACACTTCGAGCATGGGGTCTGTGGCCAGTAGGGGCCGATCGCGCACCAAGGAACCGTTGTTAAACAGTGAAAGGGGATTACGAGGCGGTGAGGAGGATAATTGGTCTCGATGATGGCGATTCCTGGCTCGGTAATGACGTGTCCTGCGTGCGAGTGGGGAAATCGGGGTGGGAAGGGAATTGCGTTTAAGGCCCGTTCAATATCCCATTCACATACGCGCTCCATTCTCATGTAGAAGGGGAACTCGGGGAGGCGGGACCGGGGTCGCGCGGCTTGACAGGCACGTTCTCGTTCCCAATATTCCCGGAACCATTGATGCCTCAGACTCTCGCGATCTGTGACGTAGAAGGGGATCTCAACATCCATATCGGAAAAAAGGTTGACTTCATCATAGACCCTGCGGGGGCCAGTCATGTGGATGTGCGTGGAAGACGCGTTTTTGCGATCGTACTTACACGCGCATCCACGAGACTCGCTTCCCGTTGATGGGTCATTTCAGGTGCCCCAATGGTTCCCCAAGGGTTCGTCATGCAACTATCAGATCAAAAGAAAAAACAACTTCCGGGCATAATCATAAGGCAATCTCGTGACAAACCAGCCATTCATGCATCGATAAGGTTGTGAAGGGTTCATCATCCAGTCGATATACTCAAAGAATCAAAAGGACTTGTTAGTTCCCCGACCTCACAAATTCCTTTTAGAGTACGACACAACGCTTTGGTGATCAAGTTTCTTGTGAGATCGCGGACATTTATTCATCGAATCCTCACTCGTTCATGCAAAGACGACGCGCATCCATTGGTCATACACACTTTTCAAGATTGACACTCGCATTCAACAAAATTGATGCATTCAACCCACACCCGTCAACAAGGAAGGAGGATGGAGAACAGAGTTGCACACCAGGCGACACCATCGCACAAAAATCGAAGACATTAGGATGGCTCTCGCCTGAGACCAAAATTTAATACAAGGAAAAAAAAAGAAAGGTCACGATCCCACACTCGTATGCTTCTCACTCCATCTCTCTCTTTACACCACGTCACCTCCGATGCGGACTTCCGTCGTCTCGCACCAACACCGAGTCATCAACCCGCTTAGTCCAAGCACGCACGTCGGGTTCGCCTGTGCGGCACAGTCCGTCGTGACCCGCACGTCAACCCCGCTTACTTGGCACCAGCCCGTCGAATCGCCCGACTCACTTTTACTCACCTTCCAACTTGCTCGTTGGGCGATCCTCATTGTCTGTGCTAACCTTTCAAATCTAGAGAGAGCGAGTCAGTCACGCTTGCAAAATTTATCGCATGCGTGTTTGCGCGAAAAAACCGAGATCATACCCAAGACAGAAATAAGAAGGAGAGAAGGGAAGTGCCTACGGTCTGCATGGTCAGGCCAGGGCGTGGGGGTTACAGCCACTCTCCACGCATCGATCCGGGCATGCAGCGCGTCGGCCTATCAAAACGAGGGAAGATGCATGCACAACAGGAAGGAAGGAAGCGGGAAGAAAGGTGAGAGAATCAAGAAGAGAGAGATACAGTTACAGTTACGCCCGCCAAAAAGATACAGTTACACGCAAGATTAAGGGCGCAACTTAGTCAGAGCTTTGCTCCCGACGCAGACAAGCGCGCGCAAGCAAGAAACACATCGCAACAAGAATTCCAAAGATCCTAAATTCCTATCTAAATCTGAATTACAGAAAAAGAAAAATTGCGAAGAACGAAAAAAAAACTTTGAAAAACAATTCCGAGGAGCCCACGGGGGCTCGACATCAGTTGAAAGAAGATTTTGAAAAATGAAAAGCAATGTTCCCGCGCGGTCATCGCGCTAAAATTCCCGTTCCCCTTCGCCCCAGCAGAACAAGAAAGAAGCTATGGCAACAATAATTTCTCGCGCTCGCTAAGGTGCGGTGTCCTACTGCCTAGGCGGGGCCTGTTCTGATGCTGGCCCGGCAAAATCGAAAAAGAAAATCGAAAAAGAAACGAGGACATCCATGCAACTTGCCCAACCGACCCATCCCTACGTACTTCGCCTTTTCACGACCACCATCCACTACCCCAACCTCCATCAACGAGAGCTACTTTGGGCTATTCTAATCTGACAGTATTCTCCATGCAGGTGAAGCCATAAGACAGCCTTTGATGCAGGTTCCCTGACGATATCCTCCAAACCTCGAACCGAACCTCATGCTTATCAGTGACCAGTGTTAACCTCCCGAGCTACAGCCTCTAAGGGCCTCGCCACACCAGTGTCGAAACCACGATTTTCGATAATTTCTCTTCGCCACACAGGCTGTCAAAATTGGAGACAAGAAACTTCGCAAGTTGTCAGAGAATGCTTCTCGAGACCTGTTGTCGAAAGTTCTTGAATCCCCAGGCTGCTACTCCGAAGTTTTCGACAGTCCTCGGTTGCGCCCTCGACTTCTCTTCGAAACTGGTGAGTGGGCGTGAGGTCAGGATGGATTAGTGCTTGTCCTACCCTCAGGGGTCTTTTTCCGTCTTACATTCACAAGTGCGTCCATTCTACAGTGCTGTGTGGCGAAGGGGGGGTTTCTGGCAAAAAATCTTTCGGCGAAAAATGTCACAGGTGATGAAAAGAAAGGTTCTGACAGGTGGTGAAAAAGAAAGGTTCTCGACACTGGTGTGGCGAGGCCCTAATGGTCTGAACCTGTGCTAGGCTGAGCTGGAGTAAGGGACAAGTGTGCAAGCATCCAAACAACCAGGTGGACCAAGAATGTCTGGCAATCCCTCATAGTGTAGACCCAGCATACAACAACCGTGAACAAGCAGTGTCTTGCGTCAGCCCAAGGGAGTGCAGGTGTCCTGCGCAGAGGTGCGAGTTTTGGACCCACAACCTCAGACCACAAGGCGCATTTCCAACTGGTGCCCTCACCACTGAGCCACAGGCCTGGGCCACAAACCGCCAAAGCCGCACAGACGACCGGCCCACCAAACTGGGGACGAATCATGGGGAGCCTCGGATTTGGGGGATAGCGAAGTTGGTGGATGCCAAACACCTTTAACCCGACGCGCTCCGGTGTAAAACGCAGTGAGGCGTTTAACAAGTGTTACGGCGAGTCCCGATGCTCTGATGTGTGTGTGTGTGTGTGTGTGAGAGAGAGAGAGAGAGAGCGCATAACTTAGCTGATCTTTTCTGTCGTGGGTAGCCGCTTACGCTCAATGGACGTCAAGAGCGGAGAGGGAAGGATGGCTTCCTCAGGGAGTGACAACGGGCTTCCTATCGTCCTTGTGACCAATGATGACGGGTCCACAGCTCCCGGGTTGCTGGCTCTTGCTGACGTCCTCATTTTAGGCGGGAAATGCCAGGTCTTTGTCTGTGCGCCTGATCAGTGAGTGTTCCAATATGACTATTCAGAACAGGGGAGTTCTCTCAATGTATATGTCTTTTTTAGCATTCTTTTTGATCTGTCTAGTTATTCCAACTTTTTTTAAGGGACGCAAACAGTGTACTTAGAGATTGGTCTTATTGTTTTAGCTTCGAATTGAACCAGTTACGTATTTTCAGCAATCAAGCAAACCAATGAAGGGCAGTCATTATTGGAATGAGAGTAATCAATCAGCTCATCGAAGGAACACGTGGGACTGAAACATTGAAGTGGTAGAGGATGGCTTCGTCCCCATCTGATGCGCTATCCACACCCCCCTTCTCTCGCCTCCGCGCGCCCTACGCAAATCCCTCTTTTCCCAGGTGCCCCTCTCTGCCGTACTTTTTCTCCCTCGCCTTTCTTAGCCGTCCCATCTTCTCCCCGCCTCTCTTTTTCTCTGAGTGTCCCGTCTCGTTCCCTGCCCCCGTCCTTACCCTGACTCCGCTCCCTTTCCCATCTTTCCCCCCGCTTGCTCGTTTCTCTCGTGCATGTTTCCCTCGCTTTCCCTCCACACCCGTTTCTTCCCCTCCCACCTTTATTCCGCTCCCATTTCGCACCCCTTTGTACCCGCCTCTTCCCATTTCCCCCCTTTTACGCTCACCTTCTCAGCACTGGTCACGGCTCATCATGTGTTCCCTTATTCCGCCTACCCTCCTCTGCCTGTGCTTGGTTCCTTTCCTCGCCTCTCGTCAGCGTCCCTCTCTTTACGACAGGTGGCAACTGCTCCATCTTGCCCCCGTTGCTTCACTCCTGCATTCAGTCTCTGTCGTGTCCTCTCCCATCGCTCCCGTCCCTTTTTGTTCCTTCTCTTCCCTCCTTGCTCCCTCTCCTCAAGTCTACTTCCGCAGGTCTTCTTGAGGAGAATGGAGCGCATCTAGTCGACATCTGTAGGGGAATGCGCCCGAGCCGAGATCGAGCATCTGGTGCTGTAGTGGACTTCGTTATGTTTTTCCGAAAGCGTGTTCGTGAGCATTTTTCTGGCCAATGCTTGTCATCATTCCCTGTTTCTGTTCTTCCTCGCTCTTGTCGTCCTGTCTGGAGGGGGGAGAAGGGGGCAGGGGACCCAGTCCTGAATTAGTTACAATCGGGACGTCTTTACCTTGTGAACGTGAGCTCTCCAGAGGCTTCCAATCCGAAGGCGTTGAGCTCGTCGTTGTCGAATGCAAGTTGTGCCCATACTGTATGATGTGCGTAATTGATGGTCATTGACCCCCGAGTGTTATTTTTTCCTCTTGCTTTTTTTGAGGCGAAAAATATGTTGTGATGCTTATGTTTCGTTCCGAGAAATTGTTTCTCAATGAGGCCATTTGTTTTGATGCATCAAAATAATATACGAACAGAATTAGAAAAAAAGAGAAATAAGGGTGCCCTTCTTGTTTCTGTTGCCTCCTCTCCCCGCTTTCCCCTCTCTCTTTCTCGCAAATGCGCTCTTAAATTGATGATGTATTTTATTCACACACATATGGTCACACACCCTAAAGGTCGCACCTATCATATGTCATGATTGCGCATGACATTGACATCGCAAACGACGAAGCGGCCTGCAGGCAATTTTGTTTTCATTTAATTTTTTCCTCCTTCTACGCGAAGGAGGACGACGCGTGCTATTCCATTGTAGCGGAAGCGAACCCGTATTCTTTTCAGCTTTACTGTAAGGAGTTTGGCATTTGTTAAAGTTGATTTGGTGGATTGCCTTCCCCACGAATAGATTGGAGCTTGTGTTAAAAAAAAAAGAAAAGAAAAGAAGATTTGGTGGATTGCCTACTTAAATTACTTTTGTGCTCCGATGCTTCTGTCCAGGGGGCGCACAGATCGCCAGGTGCACGATGGTTAACCCGGACGTGTTTTACCTTGTGTACTTCGATGCATCCTTTTGGACGCACGGACGGCGAGGTGCAGGATAAGTACCCGGACGTGTTGTCATCGAGATGCATTCTGACTGAGGGATGGGCACAAATAAATGTATGAACTTTTTGATCAGTTGCATTCATGGTGGCATCCCACCAGCTCATGACGTAGCGAATGGGTATGGGCATAGGTACCCATGATTTTTTTTCCCCCTTTTTGAAGGCCCAGGTTTAGAAGTTGGAAAGTGCCCAGTTTTATGCAGCCACCAGGATTTGAACTCGTGGTGTATTTGTCAATCGATTTGTGCGTACCGTCTGACAGGTAGGTATAGTCTGGCGGTACTTCCAATAGGGCGATGAGGATGGTTACGCAAATGCTGGGTAGGAGTACAAGCCCTCCTTTGGCTTGTTTTCCTTGCGCGCATGCAGAATTTTGTTTTCTGCAGAAAGCTGGTGTTTGAAGTACCAAGTTCACCGTGTCCGTTTGATTGATGACGTCGCCTTGTAGTCGAAGGGCGCTCTGGCAACTCCGATGTCGTGCATATGATTTTGTCTGGCTTTGAACGTTGCTATCCCCGTGGCATGACTCTAGTCAGTACTGATGATGGGCCTGGGAAACGGGATTTTCTCGGCTGTGAGATGAGTTTGGGCATGCATTGCCCTTTCCCTTTCCTGAGTGTCGTCCAGTTGTCTAGGAGTGAACCTACGATCTGGAAAGTTGAACGCTTGATTGTACAGAACGGCCACTTTTCTTGGCTTGGAGATGAGTGGGCGTGGATTGCCCTTTCCCTTTCCCGAGTGTCGTCCAGTTTGTCTAAGAGTGAACCTACGATCTGGAAAGTTGAACGTTTGATTGTACAGAACGGCCATTTCTTTGAACCGTGGGGGAGCAAACAGCAGAGGACTGCCATAGTTGGTAGCTATGTGCATAGTGTTGCTGCCAACACGACCCACTTGTGTAAGATTCCTTTTTTTTTTTTTTTTTTCCCTTATTGGGCGTCGGCTTTGAAACGCGAGCTCAGACTGAAAGGTTTTCGGGAGGAGTTTTACGGAAGTTGTTCGACAATTTTCCACGTGGAAAGGGCGGAATTTGGGTCTATACGTATCATCTACTGTTCGAATATGTGAACGACAGCACAGGCTGTAGAGGCGACACCAGGGCGAAGAAAGTCCAGACGTTGGCCAAGCCTAGCACTGTGTGATGAGCGATTGTGTGTTTGCTCCGTGCTTTTCGTTTTGTATTAGTGCCACTGATGGTAATCGGGACGGGGTAACCTTGTTTTAGGCTCGTTTAGGACGTTGCAGACGGTTTGATCAGTTTGGGACTTCGTTTTTTCTTTTTGGCCTTTGTATTGTTTCTCCTCTTTTTTAGGGTTGTACTTGGTTTGCTTTCTGTTGGGATCTTTTGCGTTTACAGGAAGCTGGGACCTTTTGGGCCTTGTGTACTCGGCACTGGTACACTTGAGGTCTCCGGACCGAGACGGGGATATAATCTACAGCAGCGTTCGTACTACTCCTTCGTGGTGCTAAGTCATAGATCATCATAATGATGAGCGCTGACCGACGAGTAGGGTTGGTGGTTTGAAGGAAGTTGACAAAGAGGCGTAGGGGGGTGGAAAGCCCCCCGAAGTCAGCCACGTGGCAGTGGCTGAAACATGTTGGGGGATCCAGCATGACTACTTGTATACTCATGCTTTACTTTGCTGAGCAATCGTTTGGTGTGTCTTACACTTTGATTGTGCTCTTTCTATCTCTATCTCATACTCAGGCTAATGAAAAGTTTTCGACTTTACTGGGAAAGATCTTGATTTCTCGCCTTTATTAATTCAAACTTCGTGTGCGTTTTAAACACTCAAGGTCGAAGTCACACCAGCAAGATCCACATGGTATGAATACACAGAACTTTACAACTTGAAATGAAGTACACAGGTTTCCAAAGGTCTGCAGCTGTGGCCGCCAGCAACAACGACAAGCACGTAACTATCTGTCTCTCTCTCTCTCTCTCTCTCTCTCTCTCTCTATCTATCTATCTATCTCCCCCCTTCTCTCTCTACACTTCTGCGCACACACACTCACACAGCTCTCACTGTCTTTGTCTGAACGTCCTCACTCCCTCTCAACTAACGCCCTATCTTGCATCTATGGCTTCCCCATCGTCTACTTCCTCACCAGTCACTTGGCACATAATAAAGCAGCAGTGCTACATAAGCACCGGTCGAACAAGAAGAGGTTCCTGGCGTGGGCCTCCCAAATGTGTTTGTGTCGGGTGACTCCTCACGTGGCTGATGGCTTCTTCTTGCTGCAGTTGACAAAGATTCGAACTGTCTCCCATTCCTTTCTTGCTGGGAGTGGACACCTGGTGACTGCCTACCTACTGCTTGCTAGGAACGTCTATTGTTCCTGGCCCTCATCCTACGGAATCTCTACTTTGTTTGCCATAACACCTACCGGAAAGTTCTAAGCGTGACCCTATGATATAAAAGAAAACGGGACTACTGTGTTGCCGGGAGTGGGCTACGCTTGAATCCTTTCACTCTCGCCGATCTAATTTTGAGGTCCTCCGGGCAGAGCTACCTTGCGTCCGTGAGAACATCTATGGTATAGAACATACTTTCAATGTCCCCCTTATAGCAACTCCTGAGAAATTCCTTCTTTTAGCACGAATTCTTCAGACTTAAGCCACCCAAAATCACTGAGTGCGTGCTCTATCATTCTGAACCGTGCGTCTCATACTTCAGGGAGTAATCTCTGAATCTTATCCGGATTCAGAGCATCCACCCCTTGTGAAACTCACGGTGTTGACAACTGCACTGAGTTATTATATGCACAAGCTATCTTAGGGAGGTGCTCGTCCCAATCTACTTGGTTTGGTCTAATACACAATACTAAGGGTTTAATGCAACAACTTGTTATCTGTTCTGTTTGGCCATTAGTTGCAGTATGTCTACCCGATGACAAGGCCAATTGCGATCCGTACACTTTCATTAACTGCTGCCAATGTACCATCGTAAATCTAACATCTCTAAACTACGGTCAAAGGATGGCTGTGGTCCTTGACCCAATATACGGAGAACTTTCAGATTACCAATTATGTCTTAGCTTCTGCTGGCGAAGGAA